TGTGTTTATCGCTTCTCTAAGAACGTCGGCTCCTCTGATGCTGGGACTTACTACTGTGCTGTGGCCACATGTGGGGAGATATTATTTGGAAATGGAACTACACTGGATGTTCAAGGTATCTGTGCCTGATTTTGTCTAAAGTACTTTTCAGTTTGTGCTTAAAACACGCTCATATCAAGATCAGTGATAAAACCTTTTTTGTTTGTTTTGTAGAGAAAACAACACAACTGGTATTTATTGGAATTGTAATATTAATAACCTGTTTTGCCATTTCGGTCATTGGAAATCTTTTCTTCATCTGCAACCGAAGAGTATGCAAAAAATGTAAAGGTAAGTGTTGTCAGTAGCTTAACATTTATGTATAAAATCATAAAAACAAGTTTGCTGTAAAACTGCAAGGAGGCAACTATTGTACTAATTGTTAATGTTTAAGCGCTCCATAATGGTTGTTATTTCTTTGTGTACCTCATTAAACAATCTAACTTCTCATTAACTTAACTTATCGCTTCACTTGAATGATACCTTTATGTAAGACTTTTGTAAAAAAAAAAAAAAAAACATCAGAGGAGAAATGTCACACTAAGTGCATTTCACTATCATATATTTATTGTTATTATTTTCTTTATCTTAGAAATAAAAAGTGATACAACAGAAGTACAAACTGACAACTTGTACCAACCAGTAAGTAATCAAACAGATTTTGTGTAGGTTAAATATGTATGCACAGTTCCACATCCTCTTCTACATGTTTGTGTACTGTGTACTCTTTCTGTTACTACACAGACTGAAGCTGATGATGATATAAACTATGCTGCGCTCAGTTTCTCTGAAAGAAAAACACAAGGAAGAAGGACAAGAGAGCATACCGAGGACACTGTTTTCTCTTAAATGTTGAGTTTAATGAATATGACATTGTTGAGCATCTCCTTAATATTAAAATAAACCTTAAATTAAGTTTTGGGCCTTTTATTTGTCACTCTTTGGCGCCCTTTGTTTTCTTTTCGAATTTTTCTTTTTCCATCTTTGTTAAAAACTAACCCCCACAGCCCCCCACTCCAAGAAAAACAAATCTAGTGTTTATTTGTACAACAGTGCAGGAAAGGAAAGCATGTTACTTAATTTGCTTTGAAATTGTCTTAATGTAAGTGCATTTTCAATTTTTAATTATAATTGAACCTTTTTTCATACAGGTAGTCCTTTTGAGACTCGGTGTCTCATTTACAACAGGGCCTTGTTTCAGACAAACAAAGAGTGATATCTAATCCTACATTTTTACCAAGTAATCTCACTCCGCAGATCAGTTGCAAATGTAAACATGAAGAGAGACCCAAGAACTTCTTTTTATAAGAAACTTCTTTTTTTCTGGTTCTGTGTGCTGTGTTGTATTATTTTATTTTTTATAATATCTTGAACTGCAAGATATTAGCTGTAGATAGAAAAAGATATTTAGCTCTGGTGACTACAAATAGAAAAACGTAATAAGTTCTGTAGTGATTAAATATATATCATTGTGCATTGCTAAACAGATTGTGCAACAAACATGCACTGCATGTGCATATAACACTATCTATTAACACTTAGTGTTAACACTCAGAAGAGAGACCGAAAATGAGAATCCTGTCAAAATAATAATTAAGGACCTTGCAAAAATCACTGCAGAATCGGAACTTTGCTTGTGTTTTGAAACCTTCTTTGCACCAGACTAAGCACAAAATCTTAATATGTTACCATTTTTCCATGTTGTGACAAAGCTCCAAATCATTTTAAGGATACTTTAGAGTTAAATTTAATAGCACTTCAAAATCAATGTCAAAGTATAGATTCAGAAACTCAAGACAGTAGAAAGAACAGTGAAACATCTGTCATCATCATGCTGGAGAATCCCACAAGTAACACCCTACAAGTTCTTACAATTCACACCATGTAGCTAAGTTTGGACTTTATTCTAAAGTAAACAATTTGTGAAGCTGAAATAATTAAAACATTAAATTGTGTCTTTTGGACTGATTGTCAAACACATATATACATAAAGTGGCTCGTGCTGTCACGGTCCGTTCTGCCACCCTCACCTCTTGCTCCACCGCTCTCCTGTCACCGGTTCCAAATAAGCATTCACTTTGATTCATCGCCTGTCAGTTACTCTCTGCCTTGCACTAACCCCTCTTTCCCTGTGTTTGCAGTGGCTTCAACACCTGACTGACTCTCACTCAGATGTCCCTAAATTAAATAAACTTTTCTTGATCAGTAAATCAGTCTGTTTATTGATTCTGCTTCTGGGTCCACGTACAGCACATACAGCAAAAAGGGGAATAAAAGATTCTCTTTTGAATGATAGTAAATTGGTGTTGACATTTACTTCTGGTCTGCCTGACCAGCACAGACCAGGTCAGTGTCATATATTTGGACAGTTTTCAGCATACGGAAGCATTTTTAAGTTTGTTCTTAGGAAGTAAGGAATCTTTTCAGCAAAAGCTGAAATCAAAAACATTCAGGACTTCAACAACTTCACTGACTCCATCTCCTAGATGTGCTTTATCTTTGTGATAAAGTTTGCTATTTTTTTATGGATCCATGAATCTTTTACTTAGCACAACTTTAAAAAACTTTAAAAAAAATTTTAAAAACTGTGCTACATACTGCAGCTTATGACCAAAAGCCTGCAGTCGGTATGTTTCTCCATCAACCTCACAACAAAAATCAGCATGTAACCTGCATAAGACAACGCGAGCAGCTGAAACTCAGGTGCCTTTATGTAACAGAGGACACCACAGGAAACGAGAAGAAAACACAGAAATACAGAGAAAGAACAAAGAGGGCAAATGTCACAGACTCAGCCAAATGCCACCTGTGAAATCATCAACTCATGTAGGCTAAAAATTGAAAGCAGTTTATATAAGATCAGTCTAACTTGAATGATCTGGGTATAATTTACTGTGACAGTGAAACAACAAGAAAACAACTTCTTTGCTTACATCTCTTATAGTTAGAGAACCTTTGAACCTTTGTCTTTTTTTAAACCCTCCCTGAAGGGATATTTAGTCAAACTTTCCTCAAACAATTATTTGAGTAATATTTTGAAGATTCCATTTATACCAGTAAGCAGCACATCATCCCTAAAAACATTATATGATAGAGTCACACCATCTCTAAGGTTAGCCTCAGTCAAAGACATTTAATACAGAACCTCACTCATTTTGCTCAGAGCTGAAGAAAAAATTCAGGCAAAAAAGGCAATCTAGTGTCTGGAGTGAACTGTTGGTGTGATTTGGTGCTGTGGAAAGAAAATTCAAATGAATTAAACTGAGTTGAAGACAAAGCAATTTAAAGAGGTATAATCATCACGCAATCTAAAATGTTACATAACATTGAAATGCACACATTGTTACATTGTATGCAATCGTACATCCTACAGCGCGCAAGAAGAAAACTCACACAATGTACTTTGAGAGATCAAAGAAACTGATCGTTGTGGTACCTCAACCTTCTCTTGCACAACTGAGCTATTAGCTCTATCTATCTGGAGCTGTTACCTTTATTAATCATGAAGACAAAACAGTAACTTGTAGTAAGATAGTCCTGCACTAAAGTAGCTAAGCCATCTAAAGGATATGTGTAAAGTACGAGATTCAAACTAGTGCTCAAGAGAGTCATGTTTACACGATAATGTAGTGGACATCCAGTGGTGCATGAGTCAGTTGTTGTAGTTTGATTCTGAGTGTGTTGAAACTGATTTGTGTCCTTTAATTCATGCCAATCAAACTGATAATAGAGCTAGAACCGTACTTTATCTGACTTATACTTCTGCTGAGCTACAGTTCAGTAAGATCTGATTGCAATGCATGGTTTTCACTTCTATCTAACTTTTCATTATTATCACATTTCATTGTTTTATTGAGAAATTGTCTGAGAGGTGAGATATAATGTGGGAAATTGTAAACAATGACCACAACAGACATATGCTGACTGGCTTGATAAAAAAATCTGAATGCAGCAAGTGGATGGTGCAGCCTGAAACTATGATACATGTTAGTTTTTTGTTTTCTTTTAGTGCTATAAGTATGTTTTGCGATTCTTGACCCCAAATTGGAATCACATTTTCCATAATTTATGTTTTATGCAAGCAAATCCCACTTCATGTCACATACTTAGACTTTTCATACTTGAATTTGTTGTCAGGACTGATTCTGATTGATTGTGATTCACAAACTCATGTCTATATCAGGAAACACCTATACAGTTGAGTTTGTGAATCACAATCAATCAGAATTAAAGCCTGAGCTGTCGCTCTGTAATTAAAAAAACAAAACCTCAGCACTCATCTCATGGAGTAAAACCGTAGTAAAACAGCTCTGTAATGCTTTGCTTTTGTTTCTTCGGGGATCAAAATGAGTGTAAGAACAGCTCATTTGACCTTTTCGGCTACTGGTGGCTTCCTGCAACGCTGTGTCTCACACAGACAAGCCCAGCTGTTTCCGTTCCTTCTTTATGTAATTTATTAGCCATGCTATCAACTGGATCGAAAAAAATGTAGTGGATACAAATATGTGCACTGACACAAATTAATATGTTAAAGTTTATGTTCACAAAAAAGGGAACAAAAATCATTGGACTAAACTTTGTTTTGCACTACCAGTCTCAAGATTGTGTCGTAACTCCAGATGTACTAAATCAAAAGCTTAGTAGACTCCCACTCACAAACAAATACGTAGTGAACTGAAACCTATTGAACAAGAGTGTTTGTTGTGGTGGGGGCAATGTTTTAGCACACTTTCAGTATTTTCGAGAAATCTGTTTTAACTTAGATCGGGGGTCTCAAACTCGCGGCCCACGCACCACTTACGGCCCACGTCACCTCTGTTTGAGGCCCGCATATTGAAGTGAGGAAATATTTTTTTTAATTATTATTGAAAAGATGATTTAATATTAGTTGATATGAGCAGAGCGCTACAGGCATAGCCCTTTAAGAATGTAGCCTCA